GGTGAAGGGTGTGGGCCCTGGTGTTGTGACAGAGGCCGATGAGCAGTCACAGGAGGATGTGGAGGGCGAGCTGGGCCCGCAGGCTTTGGTAGTTGCAGGGGTTGCCTCGCAGCAATAAAGTGGGATAGTTTGGTTCCAGCGTACACCAGTTGTTCCATTTTCTCTGAGAAGCAAAGAAGTAGAGATGCTGGAGAGAGGGATAACGTGTCTGGTGATAGGGGCTGTTGCTATGCTGTTACTGGAGGCTTTAATATGTTGTCCTGGCTGTTTTCCAGAAAGCCATCCTTTGGTGCTGAATCTTGGAGCCGGTCTAATCCGCCACAGTCTGTCTGTGGTGAGATCTGTGGGCAGGGCTCAGCTGAGATTGTGTCTGTGAGCAGAGGTTGTTGTGGCTGCATGGTGTTATCATTGTCTTTGTTAAAAGCATGTCCATTCAGGTCCTGTGGTCATTCATACTCTGTCCAGGTGTGTATGTGCCATTCAGGTTGAGTGCATTGGCACAAATTGCAGAAGGATGATGGAGTAGTAGATATTGTCCTTTAGCACTCTTGAAACAAGTTTGTTTGGGTGGAGGCCATCCTATCAAAACAGTTGCCTCTGACTCCAGCAAAGATTGAAGTTGTCAGTGAAGTTCATTCCTTTTATTTTGCAGGTTTTTCCTTTTATATTGCAGGTTTTTGTTTTTGCTTGTTGAGCCTAAGCAACCGTGAAAACCTTTTTTGCTCCTCTTGCTAGGATTGGTCCACCAATGAACGCCTGAACTTGTAGTCTTCTAAGTGTTTCAAAAAGTTCATTGAAATCCCTCTTAGGAGTTCTGATTACTCTTTGTGAATATCCTTCTTCCCCACATGGATGATAAGAAGTCGAACAATAAACACTAACAACGTACTTTATAGATTTTTTATTTTATTTCATAAAACGAGAGAATTGGTGAATCTCACAAAAATGAAACCATATGTCACATTTTAGCCAGAAATAAAAAGGAAAATGAACCCTATTTGTTTTTAGAAGCATAATGATTCTTTTTTTTAATTAGACATTTTTTTATGAACATTTAAGAAATTCTCCTTAAATTCCCATTAACAGAATGTAACATTTTACTGCTGAGTTTTTTCTAATTCATGATTCTCTTAATTTTTCTCATTATCATATTTACTGTATTACGGAAAAAGAAAAAGAAAAAATGAATTGCATTATGCAACTTTAAAAAAGTTTCCAGTCTTTTAACTTTACTTGAGATGGCATGTTTAACATTTGAAACATTGATAACATTTACTTTTTTCTAATCTTTCTCAGATTCCCATAATTCCAAATTTCTCATGGTTAAAGCCTTGTGTAGCAGCTAAGGACATTGTCTACATTGGACTCCGAGATGTGGATCCAGAAGAACAGTACGTTTGTAGATTATAATGTTATTAAAAGTGCAAAATAATACAGAAATTAAAGTCCCCCTTATTTATATATCTATTTGGTGTTTTAAATATGCTTTAAGACAGACCATGCAAATTTACCATTGCTGAGTAAAATTGAGGTGAACCAAAGACAGTCTCAAAAACACGGTTTGGTGTTTCTTACGTCACAAACTACCTTGTAACCAATCAGGTCAACGAGTGATCGTCAACTACTGGATCTTTGAGCTGGTGTCAGTGAGGGGAGGCGGGGCTAATTTGCATATTCATTGAATCGCATATATGTAGAGTTACATTCAAGCTGTTTTAAGGCATGAATATTTTTTTCAAGGAAAAAACGTTTAAAAATGTAATTTTGGTGATCAAAGATGAGTTTTAAAGGGGTGATGAACTGAGAAAGCAAATTTTCCTTGAGCTTTTGACATCTAAGAGGTCATCATATTATAAGAATATCCTGTAAGTTTCAGAACTGAAAACGTCCTTGTTAGTCCAATAAAAGCTTTTATTGACACAGCCTCTAAAAACGACTCGTTTTTAAAAGTGGGGAACTATGACGACAACGATAAAACACCACCCCCACAGATGATGATCAACGCCTGCTTCACCACGGCAGGTTTAGCCCCGCCCACCGATTCGAACATTACACATAAGTATCATACATGTACATGCTTACCTCGTGATGACAAACTGGATCGCTACCGAGCCATACAGAATATTGTGCAGTGCCTGGTTGTGCAAGACAGTCGCTGCATAAGCTTCCTGTGGATTCCAATAGGACTGCATGGATAAAATTTATTTTTAATGACGTTCCAGCTGATGAGGTAAAACATCGTCGTCTGTTCGCTTCATTTCACTGAGGATTGTTTTGTCAACAAGACTGGATTTGCAGACCGATTAAGAGTAAAGAACGGTGCTGTGCCGTCTATATTGGATCTGACAGGAATATTGTGCAACACACGGACTCTGGGTCGAACATGTACGGGCGAATCCGGTTGCCATTTGACAACATTGGACGTTTTCCCCCACGTACACCGACGGGTGAGTTAAACTCATTATAATATGCAAAACTGTTCTCCACTCGCAGCAGTGGGTGTTTACTTCCAAGTCTTCAGTGCGAGACGCCCATAAAAACCGACTGTTTTTTAGGTAGGCTCACAACCAGGGCACAAAATAGCCTATTACTTGTTCATTTTGATGTTTTTGAATGCAAAAACCAAGCGAACGTTATAAGTTGACCTCAGACAACAATATAATAACATTTAAAAAGCCAGTTCATGACCCCTTTAAGGGATATCATGATTGACTACAGGGGGACTTTAAGTAAAACAGAGAGCATTTTATCACTATATCAGTGTTAATTATGAAGTCCAACTCATCCAACTCATACTTTACATAACAGTTATATCCTGAAGTACCTTGGAATCAAAACGTTCTCCATGACAGAAGTTGATCGACTTGGAATAGCAAAAGTTATGGAGCAGACATGTGATCACATGTTCTCAAAGTAAGTGTGTTACTTTTGGAATCGTTCCTTCTTTTTTTGTAATTATTCGAAATATCTCAAGAGTAAATATTTATTGTGGAAACATTACTGTTTTCTGGATCAGGGTGAAAAAGCCTATCCACCTGAGTTTTGACATTGATGCTTTGGACCCATCAGTGTCCCCTGCAACAGGCACACCTGTAGCGGGAGGACTGACCTATAGAGAGGGGATTTACATCACTGAGCACATCTCTCAAACAGGTGAGAACACGAGGATATGTCGGTAGGGAACTAATTAATAAACCGTGTTGGGGAAAGTTACTTTTAATTGCAATGTGTTTGCATTACTCCCTAAAAGGTGCCACAAAGAGACTTTTTGTGGAAAGTAATGTGATGCATCACATTTGCATTTATTTTTCTTACCTAGTTAGGCTTGCTTGTTTGATTTAAAAAAAAAAAAAAAAACTTCTGGAGCTCCTCCGTGGGACTAGAGACTGGTTTGGCGCACAGGTGATGCTCATTAGCACTCGCACCATCGGCCTTGCTCCGTACCCGCGGCTCTCTGCCCCGCTTGCCACAAAGAGACTTGTGTAACTTCCAGGCTGATTAATGGCAGGCTTTTGGGCTTTTCAAGTTTATTAATCAAAAACTCAGTTTCAAAACATACCAAGAGTAGAACAGTGAAAATAATAGTTAATTTAATTTAATGAATTATAATCAATCTACATTATTCCATATATTCTAGATATCAGCATTAGCTATTTAAAAGACAAATGACCCACTAAATACAATGTTTCTGTGTTTGCCTTTTGCTAAGCAATTTCATTACCATGATCATTCTTGATACGTTTACATTGGCCTGTTGACTTTCTTCTTGACTTTCCTCCAGGGCTTCTCTCTGCTGTAGACATCGTGGAAGTGAACCCGAAGCAGGGCAAAACAGAGGATGAAATCACATCAACAGTAAACACTGCTGTGGATCTGTTACTGGGCTGCTTCGGACGGGTCCGCGAGGGCTCTCATGAACCAGATTACAAAATGCCAACTCCATAAACCACAGGTTTTTTTCAGGCTTCATTCTTGTTATTTTGGTTTCTTTTCTATTATATTTACTTACTGTCATCATTTAGACAGTTATGTCGTTTTGAATTTAAAAAGACTCATTTATTTACATTTATTTTTTTTCTTGTATAAAAAATGAATTCCAAAGATATATGCAAATTACACCACAGTATATTTCCATAGTGAATGCAGAAAGTAAAAATCTGTATAAAAAGTATGTTTGTTATTTCCAAAAATCAAATCAAAAAGCCATTGTTGCCAGGAAGATTAACAAAGTTTAATGTAAGAACTAAAACATGTACACATATTTAACCCTATAAAGCTTAGTTGCCTATCATATTTGATATGGACATTTCTCTAAATTGTCTCAAAATGTTCAAAACTTCGCTGAAATAAATATGTCCACAATCTACTACATGCTTTCTTGTGAAAGTAAAAAAGCATTTTACCATAATTCTAAAAATGCTCCCTACTAAAGATTTTTGGGGATCTGAATAAAACTGAGATGTTTTTTTTTTCCTTATTCTCAGTACTTCAAAGTATGTGAGCCATAAAAGACAAATTAATGATAGAAAAAGTTTTTTTTTTTTTTTAGTCTAAAGTTAATAAACTGATCCATTAAACACAGATATGTCAGCTTTACAGGGTTAAAAAAAACAAAATCTAAATGTTTTCCAACTAAATCCACACAAGGGGCAAATAATATTTAATCTATTTTAAATGAAATGGTTATTTTGCCTTAGTTATTTTTCTTTTAATTACCAGTGTATCTGATACCAGAAGACAAAAACAAGGGTTTGACAATTTGCTGATTATGTGCGGCTGTAAGACGGTGTTATGCAAAGCCAAGACTCAGAACATCTTTGATTTGCCTAATATTAACATGTAATAACAGATTAGTTAATGTAAGAGCTTGACTAACAATGAGTATTGTGTTCGAAATGTTTGCAACATAACACAACATAAGTACATGTAAACCAATAATAGACTGTGTATGATTCATGATAAAGCAGAGGGAATGCGCAAAATAAAGCAAAGAGATTCACTTTGGGAAAATCCTTTTTATTAGACCATTCCTGAACATTCTGTGAATGCGCAGAACATGCATTCTGTGTCACTCACTTTGGTCTGTCTGTCAGTCAGAAGAAGAGTTGGAGATGCGCTGTCACTTCAGTGCTTTGATTTGATGCCATCGTACAGCTCAATAGCTAAAGGCCTGTTGTAATGGAGTGTTGCAGGAATAGCTGCTTCCTTTGAAGCCATAGCCAATGATAAAAGGCACTAACAGAGGTAATGTTACCCAAAAGCTGGCTCACACAAGTATGTTGCTGCCAACACAGTCGACATGAACGGCCTCCCTGCTGTGTGTCAGAGTCTGTTCAGAATCCAGGAGGAGGAGTGCATGAGGAAGACGAGTGAAGGCTTTGATCAATCTGTCTCTTTCAGGCTGCACGGTCTCCTGAATTCCTGACCTCTCTCGTGGATCCATTTATTTGACACTACGGATAAGCAATGACAGATTGAAAGGATGAAATTTGTCAACTAAAGTATATAACCATGCCTTCAGAAAAGAGAGTTTAGAAAAGTTTATGAAAATTTAGATGTTTGATATTATTAATAATTTGCTCAGGTGCATAAAATATTAAAAAAAAAACTGAATTTAAGGGAATTCAAGACTTTTAAATTATAAATTGTGTCAACTACAATGTGCTTACATTTTAAAACAGCAAGAATTACTAGTAAAATAAAGGTCAGTTAATCTGACATTAATAGATATGTGCTCAAGTGCATAAATTATAATACAGTATTTTAACAATGAATAATTATGATGGTAACAGGGTTGACATAACTGACTTCAAGACTTTTAAATGGATTATAGCAACTGAAATGTGCTTATTTAATACAGCATAAAATCCTCATCATGAAGAAGGTAAAAAGTTAAGATAGTTTAATTTGACATTCTTAACTAACTTTGCTCAAGTGCATAAATGATTAGAAAAATAAGTCAATGTAACAAATTACCATTTAAGATTGTAACAAACCTAACACAATAAAAGATTAGTTAATAAAAGTTATTTAATAAAAAAAAAAATTAAAAGAGAAAATCATTTCTAGAATAATTCAGTATTATAACTGGCAAGAAATATGATGGTCCGAGTGATTCCGTGTGTATGTACACGCCGTTAAATGTCCGAGCGAAACAAAGCAAAACGTGGGGAGCGATATTTTTTTTTCCTAGGATGGTAGGGGAAGACTCATAAATGGTATTAACCCCCAGTGACGGGTAGGTTTAGGGACGGGGTTGGGGTAGATCATATATTTATATATACAGTAATGTAACGTTAAGTCAACGGCGTTCTTAAACACGCTGAAAAGCGATTATGCGTGTTGATAGCACGCCAAAAATGGAAATGCGAATTGGCGTGTCATACATACGCCATTCCATGAGATCAGTCTGGTGTAGAGCCAGACCGATATATCGGCCGATATTAGGCATTTTCCAAAATATCGGTATCGGCAGTCATAATGGCCGATAAATTAATATTTAAAAAATAAAATAAAAACAAACGAAACACGCTTCAATCATCTCTCCATGGCCTGTTATATTGAAAATGTATGTTTAACAATTTGCAGTATGATGTTATCTATTGCTAAATAATGGCTCATCATAGACTACCTAACCACAAAGCTATATGCCACTATCATCAGTGGAACGTTAACATTAATGAGCTTGGAAACCACAATGAACTTTTTCTGCCTAAATAAAGTAATGATTACTGCATTTATAGCTAGCATATCTCTAGTTACAGTCCCTGCATTGTAAAATGTAAAATGGACTTGCGAGGAGTGAACATTTAGACATAGAGAAAAAGTATCAAACGTATCTTGTGCAGAAAAGTTAGCTTTTCTTTCACACGTGTGTGAAATCCAACAATAGTTAATAAAAAAATATATCGGCCGATATATCGGGATATCGGATTTTAAAACCCAAAAATATTTGTATCGGTATCGGCCTTCAAAATCCTTTATCGGTCGGGCTCTAGTCTGGTGTCTGAGACACTCACCCCACTTGTTTCCCACCAGTACTGGGCAAGCTGCATGCCTCGTGCTGTAATCGCCCTCTCCGCTGGGAAAGAGATTATACCAGAATACAGCTGTCCCCTAAACACAGACACAAGTGGAAGTGATCATTCTTCATAGAAAAGGCAGTTGTACCTAGAACCTATAATAAATGCATATTTAAAACAATAAAGCGACACCCATGACATTGTTTCTGTACCTGTTTCTATGTTTTGACAGTATATACTATGAGTTGTGTCAAACCGTACAGTTTAGTTACCCATGGTTACCCATGGAGTTATGTTGCATACTAATGTAAACTAAAGTATTTAACCCCTTAGCTGTCACCCCCCTTTTTGAGAATGGGGGTTGAAATGCACTATTCAAACTTAAATGGTTGTAATTTAAGAATGCTTTGGAATATATACCCAAGTTTGGTCTTGTTTTAAAGAAAACACTCAGCAGATTATTGTTGAAGTGAAAACACATCAAAAAAATGAAAGTATGAAAAAGTTATGGAAGTTTAAATTTACAGTAAATCAAATATACTGTACTATATATTTTTTTATTTTATATAAAATATATATTTTACAAAATATTTTTTACTCTAAAATTTCTATAAAATCAAAGCCATAAATCTTATCAAGTTATGTTCCAAATTTAAAGTTGATATCACAAAAAATTGAAGTTCCCATGAGATTTTGTTTAGGCGTAGTACCAAAAATAGCCACCGGGTGCCATTGAATTCCATTGAATTTAGTTGAATACATTTTGCCTTAACAAATTAATACATTTCTATCCAAATATCAGTTCTGTCACAAAATTTGGAACCTTGAGACTCAGACCTTTCTGACAATATCAGGTTTGTCAAGATTAGAAAAGGTTTTGATCATAACTTATGAAATATAATGACGCCCAAAAGGGGAGGAGCCTGATAAAATAAGTACCGTTTCTATAGTAACACAACATTCAATTATAAAACAGTTTTTTTTTAATAATAAAAAATAATAGAATATTTTAGAGGATAATAAATATAAATATTATCATTTTTAGAGGATAATATTATACTATATATTTTTATTTTTTATTGAAAAATACTAGATTATATGTTTTATTATGAACTTTTAGCATAAAAACAGAAGTTTCAATGATTAAAAGTGGGTGCATCGACCTTTTGTGACAAAGGTCAAAACTCCTGTTATGATGCAGATTTTTTGAGGTGCACTCTTGTCATAAATTCATCAATTACTCTTCCTACATAATTTGTAACACAAAACAGGGGTAGAATATCTATTTAGAAGTCTTAGACCTTTCCAACGATATATAATTTGTCATAATTAGATTAGGATTTAATAGAAATATAGTGAAGTAAAGTTAGGTGTCCTGGTACCGGGACGGTGACAGTTAAGGGGTTAATACTCATCAAATTATCTTAAATAGACTCTATATGGTCATCCCGAGTGAAAAAGAAGTGTGCTGAATGTGCACTTGTAGTGTTCTTAAAAGTACACTTAAAAAACTGCACTTGCAGATAATATAATATTAATGAAAAAAAGTACACTTTAATGACCATTTCTTAACACACTTAAGTAAACTTTTAAAAATTGCACTTTGCAATAGTCAAATTAAAAGTTTTACTTAAGCGTATTTAATAATGATTATTTAAATATCTTTTGTTGTGCTTTAAAGAAGTAAACATATTTTGATGTGTTGACACTTAGTAAAGCATGCCGAGCACTTGATTATAATTTTGTATTTTGTAACTATAGTATGTATTTTGAAATTACACTTAAACTTACTTTATCACAAATTATTATTATTTTTTTAATTATACATATTTAAATAATGAAAAAAAAAGATAGAAATGACATTAAAGTATATTTAAGTTTACCATAAATGCTAGTACATAGCACTAGCAGAACAGAACAGAACTACTGTCCCGTTTTGCCTTTGTTTTTGTTTAGTTTTCATCTTGGACTTTCCGTTACCCGTTTCCTGTGTTCCTTTGTTCCTGTCAGTTATTATTTGCCATGGACACTAATATAACGCTCACACCTGTCGCAGCTTTGTATTTAAGTTCCTTGTCTAGTATTGTTTGTGTGTTACATGCTTACCTTATTGGTCATTTGTGTTGTTCATATTTAAGTTATTCTTAAATAGTTATTCTGTCATAAATAGTAATAAATAGTTATTCTGTGCTTCATCTGTTCATCTTCCTGAAGCCGGTGGTGATATTAACCACATTACCACAATAGAAGTAACATATTACATATAAAGATGCACCCAAGTCCTATAAGGCTAGGGCCAAAAATAAAAACTCTTAGGTTGCATTTAATACAAATTGAAACTATAATATATTTTCATTTGATTGTAAATAACATGCAAATATGTATCCAAAAACATTAAAGTTCATACATATTCTTTTATTTCTGTATTAAGTACTCATTTTAAAAGTATGTTAAGTGTGTACATCTTTTTCACAATTGCAGGTAATATATAAATCATTTTTTGGCAAAGAACTCAGACAAACCGCACCTTCATTGGCTTTACTGCTGCTCCAACTTCTGGAAAGACAGTGGCGCCCCCTGCTGATACATCACTCATCTGCAACAAATCAGGGAATTTTATACCAAGTGATAGCAGTAACACAGCCAATCCTGACAGGACAGTCACTACAACAGTAATCGATCAAATCCTACTCACATAGAAAAGCCAGGTTGCTATACGATTCCCTGTGCCCAGCTCTTTAAAAGCATCTGGTTCATCTTTCTAGAGGAAAAAGCATTTTAAAATGGTACATATTGTATCAAATACTTAGTGTACGATTAAAGAGCTTTGTATTTACCCGTCCAAAGTCAAAGTGGGGCTCATACTGTCCTCCAACACCATAATTCGCCACCTAAGAAGAGATAAAGGTGAACATTGAAAGAAACAGAACTGAAGTATTCTCAGTCTCATGCATTAAAGGCCTCATGAACACGACCTGTAGTTCTTCTGCTGTTTTCATATCGAGGCCTGTGATGTCTTCTATGCGCTGGTTTATGTGATCCACCACCGGATGCTCATAGGCCGCCAACCACGCGCTGACAGAAAAGACCATTAATAACACATTGGCTCGGTATTCCCACAACAGAGTAACGTTTTCTGTTGTTTTTTTTCATCCTTTTCTTACATAAAAATGAATATCATGCGAGTTGTCCGGGGTAAAGCAGCAATGAAGTAATGCAATGTTTATTGTGTGATTTTAGTATTGTTAATATGCAGAATGCAGGGGGAAAGTAATTAGAATGGAATTAGATTTAGAGTAGCATTTGCCTACGCAAAACTTATGGATGCTTGTTTATAAAAAAATAAACAATAAAAATAAAAAAAAGGTACTTGCTAAATTTCATCACACAAATCTAGTAAGACTTTTTCTTAGAATTGTCAGATAGCTAGGTATAAACTCACAATTGCGATAAAATAAATCAGAATTGGGAGATAAAATGTCACAATTACTTTTTTGATTTGAAACAAGCTTCCATAAAAATTTACCACCACTAAGTATGTCAAAAGTGGCCACCCTTCAAATTAGGTTAGATTCGGAGATATATGATATATTCATGCACTTGTTTATCAATCTCCGAGTTTGTTATTGACAGAAATGAGTTTGCCTTCAGGGTAACACTTTACTTGAAGACTAACATGACACCCTTATAATCATGACATGACATATGTAAATGAAGGAAGTTTTATCCATGTTTATGACAACTGTCATTACGTGTCATTCGCTCAGTTATGACATTTTTAATGCAAATGACATTGTTTGAGATGTCTTTGTTATGACACCTTGACATAAACCAATACATCATAACCTGTCAGAGCCTTTGTCACGACAGCTTGACATTACTAAGACGACACAACCTGTCATAAACATGACAGCAGATTAATTATCAAACTTAAGAAACCACTTAGCTTTATTGGTTAACATTACATTAAACTGTCAGGTGGTTGGTTTTGACATTGGCTGTCATGAAGCCATTATAACATTTAAATGACAAATAAGTACCACTGTAGTTGAGGTCACGAAAAATCAGTGTTGTAGTACTCGAGACTCGGACTCGTCTCGGACTCGGTCTCGAGACCATATTTTAATGGTCTTGGTCTTGTCATGGACTCGTGTCCATTTGGACTCGGAATTGACTCGTACTCGAACGTTATTTTTTTTTAGGACTCGGAATTTTTCCCGAGTCCACTCGAGTTCAATAAAAAATATTTTTCATGATTATTAATGTATGTTAATAAAATATTTCTTTAAATTGATTGACATGCCCAGTGATTGGTGATTTTCTAGTGCGCAACTGCGCATGACCAATTGTAATAAAATTACTTTTAACACCACCTACTATGTGGCCTTTTTACCCTAAACTGATCATATTTTTAAACTCTAAGTAAATTCAGTAAAAAAAAAAAAGGATTTCTCTAAGTAAATAAAAGTAAATTAGGTAATCAACCCTCACTGGTCTCGGTCTCGACTCGGACTCGACCGTCTCTGGTCTCGGACTCGACTCGGACTCGACCGTCTCTGGTCTCGGACTCGACTCGGACTCGACTCTCTATGGACTCGGACTGGAGTGAGGTGGTCTCGACTACAACACTGCGAAAAATATTCATGACAAAGTTATAATGGCCTCATGACAGCCAATGTCAAAGCCAACCACATGACAGTTTAACTTCATTTTATGTCAAGTTATCATGACAAAAACACTGACCGGTTATGATGTATTGGTTTATGTCAAGGTGTCATAACAAAGACATCTTAAACAATGTCATATTTGCATTCAAAATGTCATTATTGAGCGAAAGACACTTAATGCCAGTTGTCATAAACATGCATAAACCTTGCTTCATATTCAAGACATACGTCATGTCATGGTTATGAAGGTGCCATGTCAGTCTTATGCACAACCCTTCGAGTAAAGTTTTACGACTTGAGTGTTTAGCGGAAGTTTTGAAGTGTGTGATTGGTGGCTAGGTTTACTCAAACACTCTCAATTATTTAGCATGACTTTCAGGTAGAATTGTCTATAATGAGAGGCACCCATGCAGTCCGTAGTCTCTTTTCATCAGATATGCAACTATCATGCGTTTTCACAATTAATATAATGCCGTGTTGTATGAAATATAAAATAGAACACATTCAAATAATATGAAGACAAATAAAAGTCCATCATGATCCCTGAAGTATGGAAGCTTGTTTCTACCAAATAATAAAAACATTTCATCTCACAATCAAAACTTTATTTCTCGCAATTGCAAGTTATATTTAACAATTCTGAAAAAAATAGGCAGAATTGAAAGTTATAAACTCGCAACAATGAGAAATAAAGCCAGAATTACTAGATATAAACTCATCAGAATTGCGTCATAATAAACTTGATTGTGAGATAAAAGTCCCAATTACCTTTTTGATTTTTTTTTTCTGTGGCGGAAACAAGTTTCCATACTGAAGTGTGTAATTTCTATATTTCCCAAGAAAAATAAACTCACTCATTCATTTACTCACTCGAATAATGACTATCGATTTGACTTCCATTGCATGGGAAAAACGTAAAAATGAATCAATAAATAAATAAATTCTAAAACTTGAACATTTGTAACTAAAAGAATAAGTAAATGACATGTATTTTTGGTACTATCATGTACTGTATTTTGTGCTTTTTGTACACATACCAAAATATTTTGTGAGTCAAGATATCTATGTCTGTCTCTGCAGCCTAGTCACACTACTGTTTTATAGATTCCACAAAGAGGATTCTGGGTAAAGAGAGAAAGGGGGAGCAGACAGATGTGAACTCTGCGCTTTATCTTTGACCCCTTACCTCTTGGAGACTCTGTACTGGGCGGTGGTGAGTTTGCCAGTTTGAGGGTCATGCACGGTGGCACGCCTGAGCTGAAGAGCCAGCGCAGAGAGAGAAAAAGAGAGGAAATAGAAGAGAAAGGTGAAAGGCGCTGCTGACACACAGCTTAAACTGATCTACACCAACTGCCGACTTGGACTGCATGGGTGGTTTCTGTAACGTAGTCGAACTACTACAGGTCAAACTGATCAGACTAGGGTGTTCACTGATTACGTACCTCTTGTGTGTAAAGAAGCAGCGGAAGAGTAACAATCCCAAAAGCAGAACAAACAGGGATATCTATTTATTATGCATGGTATGGGCTATATGCACGCATAAGTTCCGCATTTGACGTAAGGATGCTCGTCCATTTCCGGTTGTGTAGATTAAAGCGGAGGAAAACCGGAGAAAACGGGATTATGGCAGAGTCTTCAAAATTTACCGTCCTCCAGTCTTTGAAACGAAACGTACATATGTTTAGATGTAATTTTATATATAGTTATGTTTATTTAATATAATTTTAAAAAGAAGCATAAACACAACGAGGGGTGTCTGTTTTATCTGTTTTTGTGACTAACGTTTCATTAGTATAACCATGGAGTATAAAATTCAATATAAATTCTCGGTATTGCATTGGACTCTATGATCGGCGGAAGTTATCGAGCATCCTTAATCCTTCACCGGAAATAACGCCGTGCATAGAGCCCATTAATGCAAACTTGCAGGACTGGTGGATGAACTGTGCAACATAACTGTTCTCACTTTATATATTGTGAAAGCACTATGCTCACAAAGGCTGCATTTATTTAATCACAAAATACAGTGAAAAGAGTCATATTATAGCAATTTAAAGGGTTAGTTCACCCAAAAATGAAAATGAAGTCATTAATTACTCACCCCCATGCTGTACCAACCCCGTAAGACCTTCGTTCGTCTTCGGAACACAAATGAAGATATTTTTGATTAAATTTGAGAGCTGTATAACTAACACATTGGCTGCCTAAGGGACTGCCTCTTGACGGCCCAGAAAGTCAATGAAGAAAATGTTTAAATATCCCAAGTGACTACCGTGGCTCAACTATATGTTTATCAAGCGACGAGAATACTTTTTGTGCGAAAAAACAAACAAAAATAACGAGTTCATTCGACTATTTCTTTTCTTCCTTGTAGGCCAGAAACAAGATTTCCTTAGATTTCCACGACGCATGCGCGAGAATTGCGATCTGAAGTAGTGTAAGCTGGTGTAAGCAGATCGCAATTCTCGCGCATGCGTCGTGGAAATCTAAGGAAGTCTCGTTCTGGCCTACAAGGAAGAAAAGAAATAGTCGAATAAACTCGTTATTTTTGTTTGTTTTTTCGCACAAAAAGTATTCTCGTCGCTTGATAAACATATAGTTGAGCCACGGTAGTCACTTGGGATATTTAAACATTTTCTTCATTGACTTTCTGGGCCGTCAAGAGGCAGTCCCTTAGGAGCCAATGTGGTAGTTATACAGCTCTCAAATTTAATCAAAAATATCTTCATTTGTGTTCCGAAGACGAACGAAGGTCTTACGGGGTTGGTACAGCATGGGGGTGAGTAATTAATGACTTCATTTTCATTTTTGGGTGAACTAACCCTTTAAAACAAGTTTTTTATGTAATTTATTCCTGTGATAACAGTTGAATCTGTGGCATCATAACTCCACTCTTCAGTCACATGATTCTTCAGAAATCCATTTAATATGCTGATTTGATGCTCAATTACTGTATAATTGGTTCGCAATTATTAAGAATGATTCTTATTATTATCCATGTTGACAAACCGGTTTTGCTGCTTAATATTTGCAATACTTGTAATCTTTTCAGGAATCTTTGATGACTAGAAAGTTCAAAGGTTCTTTTTTTCTCCCTCCAAAATATTCAGCAGCACAACTGCTTTCAACATTAATAATAATAATAATAAGACACAAGAAATGTAAATAATAAGAATGTTTCTTAAAGCTACACTGTGTGATTTTTACCCCCATCTAGCGGTGAAAAGGTATGACCATCCAGTGAATATTAGTTTCCTCTCAATTCCGATTTCGTTTTTAACTCCTACGGTGGCCAAAGTAGTCCAAGATTAACATGGCTTCCAGTTCGACCTTGTCCATGAGTGTTAACTCAAACGTAAACGCGAAAGGCAAAAGGCGAAGCTTGAATTAACGGGTATGTCCCTCTTTGGCTAATGTACTTTCAAGATGGAGGGTCAACATGGCGACCGACATTAGAACCCCTTACCCGTATGTATTTTCAATGGCATATTATATACACTCACGAGAATACTTTAATACTTGAACGAAGTAAATATCAGTCCCTCCAGGATTTCACGATTTTTTTTTTGTGATTTTTGCGATCAAAATGACTGATTTTGTGGTGGTAATTTCCAAAAATTTTTGAAAAAATTTGCGATTTATATATAACATTTACCATAATAGTATTCAGTCCTTCCAGAAAAACAAGTTTTTTTGTGATTGTTGTGGGCAAAAATCCTTGATTACGTGGCCCGTTTTCTTTAAAAATGCGATGGAAAGAATATGCGGGATATTTATGCAATTTTATGGGATGAAATTGCAGGAATTTGCAAAAATTGCGGTTTGATGAAAAAGAGAAAAAAAGTGATTCCCCAACATCCTGTTAATATAAGAGTCATTTCTTATTACTTCCTTTGATAAACAAGCATACTACATCATAGAAAGTGCTGGGAATATTTAATTTCTCATCTTGTTTTATTTCAGACTGTATGAGTGTAAATAAGGTGTGGCCCCTTTAAGAGCTGCGCGCTCCCTGTTGAACTCTCTGCAGTGTTATATGTGCGCCTCGAACACCCCATGTGTGCGGGTAATTTCTGTTTGATGCTACTTCTTTTATCTTATGTTGTTTATTAAGGAACGACGTGACGGTAGAACGTGTGACAGACAGTTATACGAGTTCGATTTGTGAGATGTCAATCGCCTCCGTGAGTCTGTCTGGCGTCGCGTAATTGCGTCACTTCATAACGTTCCCATGGAAACAGGGGGAAATGGCTGCTCTTGTGTGAAGCAAACGCAACATTTTTCAACTTTCTGCTAAGATACATGACTTTTTTTGCAACGAAAATGCGAGGATTATGAAATTATGCAAACCCCGCATATTTTGCACGGAAATAGGCAATTTATGCGGCGAAAGTGCGGCGTATTTGAAAAAATGCGGCCCCCGCATAAATATGCGGACTTTGGCTGATTTTGCATTGAATTCAGCGATCGCATAATCGCGTTTTTCTGGAGGGACTGAAATATACATTAATGAGCACATATATTTTTGAAAGAACTAAGTGTTTTTAGCTAAGAATAAACTAAAAGAGTTACACAGTGTAGCTTTAAGTACCAAATCATGTGACGCTAAAGACTGAAGTAATGACTCCATAATCAAATAGAAAACAGTTATTTTAAATGGTTAGAATATTTCAAATATTACTGTTGCCTTAGTTAGCATAGGAGACTGCTTTCAAAAACATTAATAAATCTTAATTATTCCAAACTTTTGACTTACTTTTGTTGCAAACTTTTATCATATATTATGTGAATGACTTTGGTCCACCCACCCATAATAAGCATGTGACAAATGTCCCCTTTGTCTGGGCTCTTGGTAACGTTGCTTTTCCAGCATGCAGTTGGGGGAACTGGTGTGTTGGCGGCTCTACAGGCCTACAGAAGCCTTACCTTTTACTGATGCGATATTGAGCCGTCTCTAGGACTCCAGTAATGGGGTTGGAGATAGTGGCTCGGCGCAGCTGTTGAGCCAACCGGCCAAGAGGACACAAGTTACACAGCAGCTGTAGTCTTACTGGCTGACCACATTGAGCCCTTGATTCAACTCTGGACTAAGAACTTTAAATGAACCTTCAATAATGGAGGATACAATACTCTAAGAAGTTTTATCATAATGCAAATACTCCAAATATAGACGAATCCAGCGAAACTACCGGAAGTAAGCGGGCGCCATTACTGAGCTGTTGCTGGGTAGCGTTGCGCCATTGCCTCCTATTGTTTTAGTTGCAACTTGCGTCCACTGGAATAAACAGCCCGCGATTTACGACTGTCACTAACGTTACAACGTTATCCCTTGTATAATGTCGAGTGGGTAAACAGTTTCCGTTATAAATTGTTTCAATGGTGGCAGTAAAATTTCAATTTTGAAGAGAAAACATTGTGAATACCCCGGGTCGACTGCCCCGTCTGGTGCCGTACGGTTTACAGATTTCCTGGGCGAGTACAAGACGTGGACATTCGCGTATAATAACAATTATTTAATGACATAAGTAAAAAAAATATAATAAATATGTGATATAGTGATCAGCAAAATCTCCTCTCTTGCTATTTTTTTCTATTCAATTAACATGCTATGGTCATTAAATGGCTTTCCTGAGCTAAATGTAACGTTATGTGACATAATTGTTTTCCTGCTGTTATATTGACCTCTTTCCATGGTTTAAAAACACTAATTGGTCGATATTATGTATACTTTCTAGCTGTAACGTTACCTTACCCTTGCCTTTTGCAATGTGAAAATGAGATAAATAATGGACACAAATGAAAAACATGAATTTGTTTATTTGATTTCATTCATTTATTTATTTATTGTTGCCAAATGGACAGATCTTTTTATAGTTTCCTCGTTAGCAAACGTTAGCCTAGCTAGCTTGCCAAGCTATTTTCATAAATAACGTTAATCTGTAAGATCGTTTGTACCTTCATCTGTGACTGGAGGCCACTGCAGTCACAGATCAAACCAACAAGTCATTCTGCCTGGCTGTAGCTGTCATCGAGGGTGAGTTCGCGTTATCACCGAGGTTTGTTTCATACCGGTGCATATGTCTATATGCCTGTGTAACAGCTCAGTAATGGCGTCGCCACAAGATGGCAGCCTACACAGAACGCTCGTCGGATTCGTCTATAGGTGGCTTTATATGCTTATTATCAATAAGTTTTATCAATCTGTATTATCAGTTATTATAGATTACATTTTTGTTTAGACAAATGTATTGTACACCTTTAAATTAGAGGTGGGTAGTGCGGATCATTTTACTGACTCGTCTCGCTCAGCAAAATGAACAAATCTTTTTTTCCGAGTCATTTCGTTCATTTCAGCATAATATAAAGAAAAGGCTAAACGAAATCGGTTCATCATATATAAAGCGCCTGTGTCTCTTCAAAAGACATTTAAATCTTTTATAATCCTTTATAATAACTTTTTGAAGCATTAACGTCTGGGTTGTGTGGACTTTCAATGGATGGACAAAATGATCAGGGAAGAATTCAAAATATAACAAAAGTCAACATGAGGTTGAGGTCAATGTGAGTAAATTTTGGGTGACGACGAGTCACGTGACCATCACAGAAATGACTGGACTAGGGGTTATGTTAATGGCGTTTTGGCCATTAATAGTGTATAATGTGTATAAAAATTGAACTCACCCTCGGTTTGGCCAGTTCCTTGACCTTCTCCATTTCTTTTTCTGTTATAATTTCATGGTAACGAACGATACGAGGACGGTCCCATTCGTCCTCTTGTTTCACCGGGCCGATCGTGTAAAATGGATGCCTGTTATTGTTGTAGTAACGGCAGAACAAACGGCTCTGTCTGCGAGGAGTCTGTAAGGATGAGATTATGTATATATTATGCACATTTCATTTATATCTTGTGCAAGACAAATACATTAGTTTATGTTTTATGTTCTTTCACAGCATCAGAAGTAAGTTTCAAAGTGCTAAACATGGCACCGCCATAGAAAAACTCATTCACTGACTCCCAAAAGCTGCATAGCAGAACATGTGGGTGTTTTTTGTACGCAATATGCAGCTGTGGTGAACTGAACGGACAAAAACAGATCTGTGCAAAGGCCACATTACCACCATGGCTGTGCATAAATAATTAAAAGTCCTGTCTTTAGTCAGTACTTCCCTCAAGTACAGAAACCACTATAGATAAACATATTAGGTTACATCAACACAGTAAAAAAACAGCTGAAACTGGCTGAAAGAGATGACTGGTCCCACATTATATTAATAAAGTCATAAACTTAGATATAAACTAATTTCTCCTTTTTCTTAGTTGAGAGTTTATATCTTCTTATTCTGACTTTATTTTTTTTATTAGGTGTCTTTAATTACTACAATATATTAGACATTAATGTAGCAGTTACAGTAAATTAATAATCACCATTCTGAGTCCTTCTCCTCTACATAGCTTCTCATATTTCCTCTTCTCAGGGAGATATTCCTTCTTCCCAACCTCTTTTTCTTGCTCTTTCTTACTCTCTTCCTTGGGGCTCTGCTCCTTCTCAGCCTTATTCTGTTTGGCTAGCTGGTAGTCGAAATACTTCAGGTTCCCAAGTGCTCGCTGGTGCTCGGGATCTAGACGGCAGAGATACATGTTAAACGGTTTGTACTGATAAATCCCTCAAATGGCTCAGAAATAATATTTCAACTCGCAGATCATGGTATGATTTTCTGGTCTCCTTTCTTCAATGGCATGTGTAAATACTGTATTGCATTGTAGGCCACGTTCACATTAATCCTGAAAACGTATATTTTTCTCAACATTTCTGTCCTCGCACCGAGACAGCATTTTTCGTCCTGAGCTGTTTGAAGACGCTCTCCCACGTAGATAAATTTGAAACGTTGTTTCTGCGTTGTAGTGTGGACTATGGAAGATTGCTTTCACCATAGGAATAAAAAAGGTAATTGCAACTTTTTCCAAAATGTGAGATACAAACTTGCAGCTTGAAGTCAGAATAGCGAGATATAAACTAATTTCTCCCTTTTCTTTGTTGAGAGTTTATATCTTCTTATTCTGACTGTTTTTTGTTAATTTTTTAAGTTAATTGTGAAATATAAACTCGGAATTGACAGAAAAAGGTCAGAATTGTGAAATAAAACGTCACAATTACCTTTTTTACTCCATTGTGGACTGTGAAAACTGAAGTATTCGAAAACGATGGTGCATGTTTAGTCATGTGACACATGTACCCATATTTACCTATCGTTGTATTGGCATTTACTTTAAAGTGTTGCTGAAAATAAATGGACGCACCACATAGTAGTGGTATATTTTTCGGAAAAAAAACAACAACATGTGATTTAAGACATTTTCAGATGTTTCAGTGTCTGTGGACAAGCAACTTCTGGAAAGATCCTTAAGATCTTAAAGATCCTAGTGTTTTGAAATGAAAACGCCATTTTCAAATGCATCCAGATGAATGTGGACACACAGCCATAGTCTTGTAGAGCAGACTGACCCACAGTGAGCAGTCTCTTGGTATATTCCAGCGCTCTCTCCAGCTCCCCCTGCTGGTAGACGGAGTAGCTGAGGTAGTCCAGCACGGTCACAACGTCAACACTGGATTTTTCTCCTTCATCCAGTTGCTTGAGTGCCTGGACCATCCACAGCTCTGTGTGGTAGTAGTCCGCATCGGAGTAGGCGATTTTCCCTAGCTCATAACAGTCCTCTACCGTCAGGGTGTTTTTAAATGGCAAGTCTGTACTAACACCTGCAAGAACACACGTAATTGAGTCATACAAATGCAAAAAATCGGAAATATTTAGTCTGATCTTTCATGTAGGTCAAACTCACCAGGCAGGTTTCCAGAAGAGATGGTCTGTGTGTCCAGTTGATAGGTGTCCTGCAGTCGGAGGAGAGCTTTGGCTGCACCGTTCTGGTCTTCATCATTAGGGAAATACTGACGCTGTATGGTCAGGTTTGAGATAAAGCCTAGAAGAAAATGCGGTTATCTTTTCATAAGAAAAACCATATCTAGAAGAAGAACATCTGGTTTTATTTACAACTGCTAGGACACATTTCTCAATACTTAGGTCACATTTTCTTTTTCAACTCCTCACACAGTTCTGCTAACGTTTAGCTTGGCACAGCAATAATTTCACAAGCAAAACACTTGTCTCAAATCAAGCCACAAATCATGCTATGTCACTCATGAAAGGTAGTATTATATAATGTTTTCTTTACAAAACAAGAATGACACTTTTTGTTTATAATTCACTGCAGTAAATTTTACATAGTCTATATTATATAGTTTACAATAAAGTAAAAATATTTCTGCATTTTCCATAAGTTTCTTTTGTTTAGATGGTAATGTAGCCGAACACCTACACAGCTGTTGGTATTTCAGTTTCAAACGCTTTGACAGTATTTCTTTTTTTAGATTTGGAATATATTTCTATGTGGCATTTCAAAAGAAATATAGAAAATTGCTGTTTTATTCAGTTTCGTACTATGTTAGGTTTTGAAATTAAAGGGATACTCCACTTTTTTTGAAAATAGGCTCATTTTACCACTCCACCAGAGTTAAATGGTCGAGTTTTACTATTTTCAAATGCATTCAGCTGATTTTCTTATATTTAGAAGAATATCAGTAACCAGACAGTTTCTGGTCTCATTGACTTCCACTAGGAAAAAAAATATACTATGGAAGTCAATGAGACCAGAAACTGTCTGGTTACTGATATTCTTCTAAATATCAAAAAAAAAAAAAAAAAAAAAATTGGCTGAATACATTCGAAAATGGTAAAACCCAAGAGTTTAACTCTGGGGGAGTGGTAAAATGAGCCTATTTCCAAAAAAAAGTGGAGTATCCCTTTAAGTTAACATTTTATAAAGAGTATAAAACGTGCAAACTTGCCTGTAGGTGTATAGACTAGAGTTTTGGCAGTTGCTGTGTCTGATCAAGAAAATGATGTTATTTGAAAAGCGTTGAATGCATTCTGTGCCAAAGCAATGTTAAACGATCCACAGTTTAGCCCACATACTGTAGACTCTTCACTGTGTTAAGGGTTTTAAAAAAGTGACCTAAGTATTGAGAAATGGGTCCTTGCGATTGTGGAAAACCGTCATGGATTAAATAAATGACAGTGATACTAACCATCAGACATGTCCTTGAGCACTAGGTCTTCCACTTCCCCCCACTCTGTGTTTAGTCTCTTCATGAGTTTAAAGGCATTGACCGGGTGACCCAAAAACCCCTCTGGGTCCTGTGTGGCTGTGGTTGTTAAAGCATCAAGCTTCTCAGCCCACCTGACAACACACACACAGTGTCCGATTCAGAGTGGCTTTATTGTTGTCACATACAGCTTGCACACGGTCCCATAACGTTCCTCCAGAACTTTGCATGAAAACTAGGGATGCACGATATATCGGCCACATTATCGGTATCGGCCGATATATGATCATTTTCAATGTTATCGTTATCGTTAAAGAACATTTAGCCAATATCTAAAAGCCGATAAATAATGTACGTATTATTTCCTTGAGCTGAGGCACTTTAGATGTAAACTGTTCAACATGATGCTTTTAAATTGCTTGAAATACGATTGAAATCACTTTAAAAAAGGAAAATCCAGTTAAAGTGCAAAATGTGCAGCGCAAGTCTGTCATATCAGCTACACAACATTAAAATAAGAACATCATAATTGTGTTCTTATCTTGGCTTTTAATGAGGAAAATCAAAAATCGTCTAAAAATTTGGATTTAGATTTATCGGCCAAAATATCGGTTATCGGCTTTCAAATATAAAGAATTATCGGTTATCGGTATCGGCCAAAATTGTCATATCGGTGCATCCCTAATAAAAACAGCAAGAAACTATGAGATTGAACTAGACAACAACAGAATAAACATCCCCTGGTTACAAATGAAGAGTTTGGTTCCAAAACGCGATAAACGCCATTTTAAAAAAATGAGTTACTGCAAAAATCTGACTTTTCAATACCGACCAGATACAAAACAATGTTTAATTTTACGTAAAATGGGATATCCGCCGTGTAAATTATGTAATGTTTTCTCCCTTTCTTTCCAAACCGCGACAAACGCCAGTCTCCCTTTTCTGCAAAATGCCACATATCCGCTAAACCAATCACAACGCACCATTCCACGCAATGTAAACAGTAACGGCAGCGCTTTAACTAACCCGGCTTCCTAGGTTTTCTCTATTTTGTCCTTTCAATCAACAAGCAAACAAAAAAATGAATAATTTTGACAGTATTGGTGAACCTGCGGAGGGTAAGGCATCCTGCATGGGTAAACGTGACGTCGAAATCGAATCATTTACGTGAGGAAGAAGATGGACTCGGGAGGAGGAAATGCCGGCTGTTGCTTGTTCTCACACGATCAAACTTCTGTCACGCCGACACACTGACCCCAGAGGATCTTTTGGAAAACTTTCAGTTGTTTTATTCAAAGTCAACGAAAACCGAGCAGGACCGAGCCATTTTACAGCTGATCGCCGTCAAAAAAGTTCAGCGGCGACGTCCCAAGGTTGACAACAGCGATATGCATAACGTTAGATCATGCTTAATACATCATAATTCATGATGATGTGCTCGGCTTAGTTAATGTTTTAATTAAGGTTTTGTTCATCCATGAAGTCATGAATGAAAAACGTTGAACTGTTAAAAAAAACGTTGTTGGTTCCTGATGATATTAATATGAATTAATGCATAATTCATTTATCCATGAATTCGTGATAATTCATGACATGAACCCTTAAAGTGTTACCGAATATTGTTATATTAAAGCAATGGATTTATAGTATGCACAATGTATAAAATTTTATTTTGATTAATTGCATTTTGAAAAAAAATAAATTAATGGATTTATTGCATTTTGGGGGAAAAAAACAAACTGTTTTTATAATAAATCTTTGGAAATCAAAACCTGGATTTCATTTTTTATTGTTATTATAACCTACAAATACTATGTGAAAATTTGAAACCGAAAAATAGTGGTTTTCATCTTCCCATTTTCTTGCTAAAGAAAACACAGTTTTACTCAAATTCATCAAAATGGATTTATAGCGTTTTGGAACCAAACTCTTCAAATATACTGAATATTGTCTGATTTTATTGACATACATAATTGGAATCAAAGGAATGTAATTTTAGCCAACCATTTTGAAGATTTCCGTCATGCCCCATTCATAAATCTGTTACTGCCAATTCAAACTTAAGATTTAAGTTATACTTGTTGTTATACTTGTTAATTGTGTTGTATGGCTCCGGCTGATGCTGTTAATAGATATTACTCACTGTTTCACTTGCTCCAGTTTGCTTTCCTCTGCTTTGATGTAGTCTTTTAATGACGTCACCAGGTCTTTTTCTGTGAACAGCAGATCTGTCATGTGACCTGCAAACACAGGTTAAACCAGGCATCAGAGATTAAGAGAATGACCTGTCTAGATTTCCATTCCTGTGAGTTGCATGGTAAATGTTTATCAACACATGGGTTTAAAGGAATTGGTTGCCTGTTAAAACCTGTAGGAGCATTTCAATCATACATTTTAAAAAGTTGAAAAGGTTGCATACCGATGGAAGTGAAGAAGTCATTGTGAGCAGAGGAAGACTTTAGCAGAGAGATGAGTAAAATACAGCACACACTCATAACTCCCATCTTTATCCTGTTTCACACACCGCCTAAAAGAAAGAAAATTAGATTTTCATTATAAACCGTTACATAACTCTCTGAAATGCTTGATTGATAATAATAATGACTACAAAACTGTATATTTGAATGTGGCAGGGTGATTATTGTGAACCAAAACTTAAACTAAGTAAGAAATTGAAATAAAATGTACAATAACACTGCAGTTTTCTTTTATAAGTCAAATATAGATTAATACTTAAAGGGTTAGTTCACCCAAAAATGAAAATTAAGTCATTAATTACTTACCCCCATGCTGTACCAACCCCGTAAGACCTTCGTTCGTCTTCGGAACACAAATGAAGATATTTTTGATTAAATTTGAGAGCTGAATAACTACCACATTGGCTCCTAAAGGACTGCCTCTTGACGGCCCAGAAAATCAATGAAAAAAATGTTTAAATATCCCAAGTGACTACCGTGGCTCAACTATATGTTTATCAAGCGACGCGAATACTTTTTGTGCGAAAAAACAAACAAAAATAACGAGTTTATTCGACTATTTCTTTTCTTCCTTGTAGGCCAGAAACGAGATTTCCTTAGATTTCCACGACGCATGCGCGAGAATTGCTATCTGCTTACACCAGCTTACACTACTTCAGATCGCAATTCTCGCGCATGCGTCGTGGAAATCTAAGGAAATCTCGTTTCGGGCCTACAAGGAAGAAAAGAAATAGTCGAATAAACTCGTTATTTTTGTTTGTTTTTTCGCACAAAAAGTATTCATGTCGCTTGATAAACATATAGTTGAGCCACGGTAGTCACTTGGGATATTTAAACATTTTCTTCATTGACTTTCTGGGCCGTCAAGAGGCAGTCCTTTAGGAGCCAATGTGTTAGTTATACAGCTCTCAAATTTAATCAAAAATATCTTCATTTGTGTTCCGAAGACGAACGAAGGTCTTACGGGGTTGGTACAGCATGGGGGTGAGTAATTAATGACTTAATTTTCATTTTTGGGTGAACTAACCCTTTAAGTGTGCCAAGAAAACATCCCCCACACCATACCACCACCAGCCTGCACAGTGGGAACAAGGCATGATGGATCCATGTTCTCATTCTGTTTACGCCAAATTCTGACTCTACCATCTGAATGTCTCAACAGAAATCGAGACTCATCAGACCAGGCAACATTTTCCAGTCTTCAACTGTCCAATTTTGGTGAGCTCTTGCAATTTCTTTCCTCTTTTTCCTATTTGTAGTGGAGATGAGTGGTACCCGGTGGGGTCTTCTGCTGTTGTAGCCCATCCGCCTCAAGGTTGTGCGTGTTGTGGCTTCATCAAATGCTTTGCTGCATACCTCGGTTGTAACGAGTGGTTATTTCAGTCAAAGTTGCTCTTCTATCAGCTTGAATCAGTCGGCCCACAACCATGCCACGCTCAAAATTGCTTAAATCACCTTTCTTTCCCATTCTGACATTCAGTTTGGAGTTCAGGAGATTGCCTTGACCAGGACCACACCCCTAAATGCATTGAAGCAACTGCCATGTGATTGGTTGATTAGATAATGGGCTCTATGCACGGCGGTATTTTCTGGTGAAGGTGTAAGGACGCTCGATAACTTCCGCCGATCATAGAGTCCAATGCAATACCGAGAATTTATATTGAATTTTATACTCCATGGTTATACTAAAGAAACGTTAGTCACAAAAACAGATCAAACAGACACCCCTCGTTGTGTTTATGCTTCTTTTTAAAATTATATTAAATAAACATAACTATATATAAAATTACATCTAAACGTATGTACGTTTCGTTTCAAAGACTGGAGGACAGTAAATTTTGAAGACTCTGCCATAATCCCGTTTTCCTCGGTTCTCCTCCGCTTAAATCTCCACAACCGGAAATGGACGAGCATCCTTGCGTCAAATGCGGAACTTATGCGTGCATATAGCCCATTGGATTAATGAGAAATTTAACAGGTGTGCCTAATAGTCCTTTAGGTGAGTGTATATGTATAGCACAGAAAACTGAGTTTTCACCAAAATAATGTTATCTGGCTGACTAACACAGACAAGGTTTGGTTGAATTTGCATAAACAACTTGTTTCTTGACACAACAACAAGACAACAAATCAATCAGTAATGTTTTGCATCATATGCCACCACGTTCCAGCAGAAGTGTGGGTTTATGAATTATTGGACATGTATAATTTTACCATAATGCATTTTTCTTTCTTTTTTTTTTTTGAAAGTTTTTTTAGTTAACAAAATATTTTGTAAAAAACTTTTGAAGAACTTTAAAAGAATAGCCTTGATAAAGTACGATCTACTACACATTGAGAAAACTACATGTAAAAGGGAATATGTCAGTGTCACATAACCAGAAGATCTTTCACCTAGAATAGAAGATCCACCACTAAAAGCTGCATGTGCAGACCACATGGCCTAGATGGGGACATTACATCTGAATGAAGAATCATAATTATTTTCTTGTAAAGTCAAATATACACACAACATAAATCAGGAACTGACAAAGAAAATCTAATGAGCTCAACAAAATATTATCACAAAAAATAGGAAGTCTAACCCATGTGTAAGTTGCAGCAGCATTCATTAAATGGACAGTCCACCCAAAAAATAAAGTTCATGTCATTTGAAACCTGTATTTCTTTCTTCAGCGGAACAGAAGATATTGAAAAATGTTGGGAGCCAAACAAAATTGACTTCAAGTCAATGGGGTCCATCAACTGTTTGGTTACCCATATTCTTCAAATTTCTTATTTTGTGTTCAACCGAAGAAAGAAATTGATACAGGGGTAAACCCCAAAAATGTGATGCCTTCTTTAACGCTGTTTTCGAATCTGTGCATTACAGCGTCATCTGTGGCGTCACAATCACTTGCAAACTTTGGTCAAAGTAGTATAGATCCGTTTAAATGTTTTAATACCAACCGATTAAAATCATCATACGCCACATATTTTACTACAATAACTCTTATTCGCATCAATTTGATCAAAGTATTGCGTTTACATGAGGTAAAGTTCAAATATTCAGTGCCAAAATCTCATAACGGTACATGTAAACTTAGACATTGTTTGGAGAGAAAAAAAACAGACATTTCTCAAAATATATTTTATGTTGCACAGAAGAAAGAAATGTTTGGGAAAAAAAACATCAAATGATGACAGAACTTTTGGGTGAACTATCCCTTTAATGAATGTATTTCAGCAGCGAGGCGTAAAAGAACTTGAGGCACGGCGAGTTGTTCGGTGCCAGACAGATAGTCCACTCAAAACCCCGCTGGCACTGTGAAACAGGACAGGCCTGCCAGCAGCTCGACAGCAGTTAGCCTGTACCTTCAGTTTATAAATAGGGCAGAACAACGAGCAGATTGCACAAACTTCTTCCTTCCTTTGCTGACCTTTTTGGTTTTTTTTGGAAAGCTGCTGCATTCACTGTGTCTTAATATGTCTAAATGTTAACCATCTTAAATAATAATGCAAGTTTTAGAATTAGTGCATCCCAAATCAAGTGCACAGACAATAGCATGCAAAGGAATCTGGATGATTTCAATTCTCTGGTGGATTTTCCAAGTGTTCATATTCGTATATGCGTGTTTGTTTGTTTTTGGTGAGGGACTAATTTGCATACAAACCCTTCTGTAACAGGAGGAGAGGAGGCAGTTCAGTTTTTTATTATTATTATTATTATATAATTATAGAAAGGTGTGTGTGATGGAAAGATGGATTTTGTTGATTCTGATTTGATTGATTGCTAACAGCCCTTTAGTGTCTCATTACTCTAATTGAACTTATATTATTATGAAATTATGAGATATAATTTAAGAATTTGTATACATTTAGGCCTATTAGGGTTAGGTGAAAAATGCTCATAATAAGGGTAAAAATGCCCTAGAAATCAGTTTAAGGGAGAGGATAACACTTACACTGATGAGAACATTGCTTCAGAATAAATTAAAAGTATCCTTTATATATATATATATATATATACTGTATATATATATATATATATATTCTGGACAAGTCAAGTCACCCTTATTTATACAGCACTTTTTACAGTACAGATTGTTTCAAAGCAGCTTTACAGAGATAACAGGAAAATAATGCCATAAAGTTTGTTACCAGAAGAAAATAGTGTCACAGTTTAGCTTAAAGGAGTAGTTCACTTTAAAAAAAAAAAAACTTTTGCTGATAATTTACTCACCCCCATGTCACCCAAGATGTCCATGTCATTCTTTCTTCAGACGAAAAGAAATTAAGGTTTTTGATGAAAGGATTCCAGGATTTTTCTGCATATAATGCACCTTTCTGGGAACCAAACGGTTCAAGGTCCATAAGACAGTTTCAGTGCAAACTGTTCAAAGGGCTTTAAACGATTCCAGACGATGAATAAGGGACTTATCAAGCGAAACGATCGCTCATTTAATAAAATATAACAAAGTTTAAGTCTAAAGTTTTTTCTAAGCTCAAATGGTCATCTTGCTCTGTTCTGTGTGACTCTCCTGTTCGAACTCGTTCATCAAAATGAACGAATCTTTTTCCGAGTCATTTGGTTCATTCAACGAACGAAATGAACAAATTGACTCGGAAAAAGATTTGTTCATTTTGATAAACGAGTTCGAACAGGAGAGTCACGAACAGAGCAAGGCGACCATGTGTGCTTATAAAACTTAAACTTTGTTTTTTTTATTTATTAAATGAGCAATCGTTTCGCTAGATAAGACCCTTATTCATCGTCTGGAATCGTTTAAAGCCCTTTGAACAGTTTGCACTGAAACTGTCTTTTGGACCTTGAAACGTTTGGTTACCAGTAAAGTCCATTATATGGAGAAAAATCCTGGAATGTTTTCATCAAAAACCTTCATTTCTTTTCGTCTGAAGAAAGAATGACATGGACATCTTGGATGACATGGGGGTGAGTAAATTATCCGCAAAAGTTTTTTTTAAAAGTGAACTACTCCTTTAAGTAAATTCAGTGGTGGTTCATTTTTGCTGTGAAAAGGCAATTAATTTAGTTCATTTATATAGCCGGTCTGGAGAAAACAGTGACGTCATCGTCCAGTTAATTTCAGCTCTCATTTAATGGTGTCAATGCAGGCAGATCAATATTATTGTTGAATTTTAAATGTCCCCAACTAAGCAAGCCAAAAGCGACAAGTAGGCAAAAGACAATTTTATTTCAGCTGTGAAGTGCATTTAGTGTGTAGTACAAGTATGTGAATTGGGATAAAGCCACTGTTGGATAACATGCCTCTTTTGAGTATTTGCTTTTTAGAAGTGATTTGAGAGCCTGCTGAATTATTTTTCACAAGGAATCTTGAAACAGATGATTTTAAAACCATTTTATGTGGGATAATTATTAGTTGTGTGTGTTTGCTAAGCTAAGGCGTTTGAACAAAATCCAAACCTTATATATAACTCGTAGCATCATGGCTAAGTTTTATACATGCAAACATCTCATTCATCAATTTCAGTGTTTCCGTTAAATCAACATGATCTCTATTCACTTTTGCTAATGGTTTGAAGACTGCAGCAGGTTTTATAAGAACAATGCATTGTGTTTTTATAGGTTATACATACAATGGGTGTCGGGTTGGGTTGAGCAGTTCACTTTGTCATTCTCATTTTATCTGTGTAAAAAGCCTCAAGAAAGAGAACACAGAACTAGAAAATAAAAGCTTTATCTGTCGGGTTGTGAGTGAGTAAGAATAGTCTTCAGTTTAGAACTAGAAGTCCAAAGTTATTCACAAAACAGCTGTTCCTTAAAAACTGTGCTGACCGTCGCTTGACCTGAACTTCTGGTGTTAAAAATCTCAGAAAAGCTCAACAAAACAAAACAAACAGCTTACTAATGCAATTCCCAGCAGTTTTCAAAAACTTGACCATCTGTTGTCTAAAACCAGCGCTACAGGAATTTACACAAACACAAATAAGACCTGAAACCAGTAGCACACAAACCATTTTTGATAAAAACGAGCGCCTGTTTAAAATGCGTTATCGTAATTCAAAAAGACAAGAATGTAATCAGAACATATACTTGACTAAACATTTGAGGAACTAGTATTGACTTGTAGAGAAGGCTTGCCTAAAATCCTGCAGTGAATAGACTAAAGAAGCAATAGCCTGGGGTCACGTCAGGGAAGCGTTCTGAAAGTGGACACTCATGAGGACAACACCCCTTGTAAAGGCCTTTTTCTAACAAAAATATTGTTTGAATTATTTTCTTTAAAATAAATTACAATATATATATGTATATATGCAATAAATTGTAGCAAGTTCTATAAATATAACAATTGTATCAAATATTGTTCTAATAAATCTATTTTGGAATTTCCTTTAATCAATTCAAATTCAAGTTTTCAAAATATCTGTTATTTTCATTTCTCTTTTTTATGACAATAGTGCTATTGTTGAAGTATCTCAACTAAACTATTATTTCAATTTAAAATTATACAATTTTGTCTTTCCATTTGGATTAGCACAGAACTCAAAAAGTTGTGTTAGGTGAGCTAAAATGTGGAGCTTGTTCATATAGTAACAGCTAAATTATTAGTCATAAATATTAATCTGACTTTTTAGGGTCAGATTTGAGGAGTTAATCAGAGTGCAAACATTAACATTAACAAAAAGTACAATTGTATTAATATAGTTACCACGTTTTTTTAATAAATAAATACCATGATAATACCATGGTGTGGTAGCCTACCATACAACAAGAGTCCTTTTTTTGTAAGTGTACTTGTGCAAATAGAATGGTCTTCTCTAATGTACAAAAGTAAGTAACGTTAAGTAGATTATGTTAATAGGTCACAACAGACGGGACTGTTATTATTTCCATGTTTTACAGTAAGCGGGATATTTGTAAATGATGTGGATTGACTGCCACGTCCGTTCCCCTCCCCCAGTACATGACCCAAACACTGTAACTTACTTTACTATACTAACTTCTCACTTCACTATACTTGACTTGTGCCTCTGTAATGCGTCTTGTGTCTCTTTTTACCGCTGGAAATAATCTTTGACTGTCTTTGTCATGTTCATATTTCCAGAACAGATCTACAGAGGCAAACCTCAAATTATAACGCCAATGGATTCTATTAATATTAATCTAAATATTATGTTGGTGCTTTGTTCTAATAAATAAGTATACAATTGACTGTTACCATTCATATTGCAATAAGCTAAGTTATTGATTGTAGGAATATCTAACTTACAGTAGGAGGGATGGTTCTGGTTTTAAGATCGCATAACGCAAGAGTGTTTTTCATCACCTGATCAAACGTTACGCAGCCAAATCCCTGGAAAAATATAGTAAAATGTCTTGAGAACCGGCCTTTAACTAGAGAGAAATGGCAGTAAGTTCCATTGAACGGGACAACTGTGGAAATATGCAGAGAAATTTCTAGAGTGTCTTGCCTGTGCCTATGATAGTGAGTATATTTACTGAAGCGATTATGTTTACTGAAGCATAATAAGCAGGTCAACTTACTGTTCCTCCCTGGAATGAGTCGATAAAACAAAATGAGAAAATGTTGTTTGGTTAGCTTCTTTCCCTCTCACTCTTCAGCGGTTCGTTCGCAGCTCAAATGAAGAAAACTGTACAGAAGAAAAGGATTGAGCTGCAGCGCCTCCTGCTGTTTAGACAGAGCAGCGAACACTTATTTCACTGTCACATAAAACCACACTCCGATTTTAGAATATGTATTTTTTCTAATTTTTGTACTATGCATACATTACTTTTTATCCAAATTGATAAAGTACATCTCTCCTGTACTTAGGACTTATATGCTTTTAGCTCTTGTAGCTCTTGGCATTGTAGATATACAAATATTTCACACACTACCAAAAGTGTTTTCTGAAACTGTGAGTGAATGGGAGAGCAGTTTTTTTTTGGTGCGTTTGTGACTCATAAAAATAAAATGACCACTTTGTGTTGCAATAATCCTGCCTCTTGTGTTTTTGATTTCTCAGAAAGCTATGTTACTGCGTTTAATTTTCAGCATTCTCTTGAGTCTTTACTGAGAGAGCATATTGGTAAATACACTAACTTTTGACAAAAAATGTTGTCTGTGGTGAAAATTATAGTCCAATGATGGGAATTAAAAAAACATTTGTTATATTTTTTTGTTATAAAATGTTATGGATTTTTTTTTTTTTAATAAATACTGTTGTAGACAGTGATGGTAATGCTACTTTGATTGTCATATACACACATGGTGTGCTATGATTCTATTCATAGAATACATTTCTTCACTTCAACGGTACAGGTACTTCAAATCATGCCATAGTTTTTTTGTCCAAAAACGTAGCATCATCACAGTATGTCCAAAAACATAGCATGGTGCGTTTGTTTATCATAAAAAAACGTAAATAATGCACATTTAAAAACCTATCCATGTCTCCAACGAAAGAGGGCGCTGTTTCCACATTGATTCCACAGACGCTCTTGATGACGTACTGATCTCGTACATATTACGCGCAGGCATCGTTTGCAGGGGGACAGTACAGAAAAGTAATCACATTTGTCTATTATTAATAATATCAGTATATTATTTAGGGTGCCATATGTTATGTAAACAGAAAGCTTCCTGGAGTGGAGAGCGACAACGTTCTACGAAACCTTAACCCCGAATCAGTCGCGGTGTGTAGTTTTGTTAAAAAGTATTTGTATTTTTGTGTCATTCACTTGGCTAACATTATGCATTTTCACGAACATAATCAAAGAAACTGTCATTTATAGAAAATCGTGATACTGGAAGAAGAGTCTGTCTGCCCCTTTACGTGTTACAAAGTTTCAAGGGCAGTTATATCTCATGACTGCTGAACTCTTTAAAGTGACATTTGGGTCGAGCAAGTGTGACTGTTAAAACCTTTATATTGAACACAGCATAATATTTTGGACCTTTTAGACATGCTGAAGTCATTCAAACTTCTCTTCAACTGTAACCTGGTGTTATCATCACGCCCCTGCTCTGGATATGTGTCTCGAACGAGGTCTGTCTTTTTAAAATACAACCATTTATTTATAATAAAAAAAAATGGAATGCCATTTTTGGAGTACTGGAGTTAATATTGGATTCAGATAAACCTTATTATACATACTATTTCTAAGAATCTGCAGTTACATTTGTATAATTCATTTGTATAATTTTATTCAAAAATAATTCCCATGAGTTTACAGTGCAAACAATCCTAAAATAGTTTTGTTCTTTCTGTCTTTTTTTGGGTAGAATGGCCTAATTAACATAATTTAAAAATCATGACATATTGATTGGCTTGATTTCATGTGCTGTTTTTGGTATTGATAAAGTTGTCTATAATTTTGGAGAAATATTTGCTCAAGAAATTATTTCTTAAAGGGTTAGTTCACCCCAAAATTTTGTCATTAATTTCTCACCCTCATGCCGTTCCAAACCCGTAAATCTTTCGTTTATCTTCGAAACACAAATTAAAAGATTTTTGATGAAATCTGAGAGCTTTCTGTCCCTCCATAGACAGCTACACTACTACCAAGCAGGGATGGGCATAAATACATGGAAATGTATTTAAATACAAATACAAAATACTGTGTGGAAAAATGTATTTAAATACAAATACAGTATTTTGTATTTTGAAAATACAGAAAATACATGTGACATTGGGGATTCAGTGCAGGCATCCCTAGGCTGAAATCTATCTGGGCCTATTCTGAACACCAGCAAATATTTAGATGTGTGCAACTACTTAGAAACTTTCGTTTTTATTTTATATACCTCTTCCCTTCCCCAGCCCTGTAGGAAATACAAAACTACAAAAAAAAAAAACTAATTTCAAACATCTTTTACTATGTTTTATCAACATCATTACCTCGCACTCAGTAACAAGAACTCAATAAGACAAAGTAAATTATATTTGATGGTGTACTCCTCCAGGTGGTGTACCTATGTGTATCAGACATCCATCTATTCGATACCCTTTAGCAACACCAGCTTTTCAAAAAGTTTGGGTTTAAGGCGTCGTCTGTGTGGCCTATTGCAAGCGCTCTACAGGAGCTGAAGAGGGAATAATTGTGTTGTTGAACCTCACAAACAGCTGTCTAATAACTGAATACTGGTTCAAGATGTCCAAATCCTTCTTCTGATCTTCTAGGATTCTGGCTCAAAGTATTTTGAGTATTTTGAAAATACAAAAATACTCATCTTAAATGTATTTAAATACAGATTACATTCGATTTTTCCCAAAGGCTTTAAAATACAAAATACAAAATAGTATTTTGTATTTCAAATACATATTTTAAATACATTTATCTGAAATACTGCCCATCCCTGCTACCAAGATATAAAACTAATCCATATGAATTGAGTGGTTTAGTCCAAATTTTCTGAAGAGATTCGATCGGTTTATACGATGAACAAAATTAATTTAAGCTTTTATTTACAAATAAACATTTATCATGTGAGAACAAACCTCATTTGGTTCATTGCGGAAGCTGAAAGGTGCTGCGTAACACGAGAATGAACCTCATTGGTTCTCGCACGTCAAGCGTACATGCTGAGCTTCCGTGTACCACAACTGATGTGTGAGTTGATGAATGTTTGTGAATAAAAGCCTAAATTCAATCTTTTCATCTAAAGAGATCGAGTCAGAAATCGAGAGATCGAGTCTCTTCAGAAAATTTGTTCTAAACCGCTCTATTCATATGGATTAGGTTTACGATCTATTAATGAACTTGAAGTGGCAGTTGTCTATGGAAAGCTCTCAGATTTCATAAAATTTAAATAAAATAAAACATCTTTATTTGTGATCTGAAGATGAACGAAAGTCTTTGGAACAGCATGAGGGTGAGTAATTAATGAAATAATTTTAATTTATGGGTGAACTATCCCTTTAGCATTTTAATAATATAAAATATTCATGTTTAGGTACCTTATGAGACTAAGAGAGGATGATGAGGCATGTCGAGAAGCACTGAGGTCTGGAAACTTTCTTCTGTATCATAAGCTTGCTCCTCTACTGCAGAAGACCAACAGCGGCGTTTACAAACTGGCGTGTCTGAAAAGCTCAGGTCTCAATACAACACCACTTGAACTCTTCCATAACATAAATGAAAAGTTTTTGGATATAAGTTTGTATGTTTGTATGCTAATTCCTCTAGATTTGGAACACGTACTGGAGAAGGTTGGAAAGGACAAACACTTTATTAATGAATCTTTTCTTCTGGGATGCACTGACAAGAGTGAACCACAATTCTCACTAGAAGTGGGTCAGTCAATACAGCCATTCCTACACAATACTATGAAAATATTTTAAAGCTGAACACACTGCAACTTAAAAAAAAAAATGATCACAATAAAATTTCAATTGCATTTATACATTTGCCAAGTGCTTTTATCCAAAAGTTGTATTCGTTTACAGCACATTGCTTTGGTTTTGCTCCATGCTTTACAGTTTGAGATACAGGAACGCTATAGGAATGGAAATGTGAGAAGTGTTTGATTGTTCCTGGACACATTAAGTTCTTATTTCAAATATTTTCTATAAGTTTTCCAGGCCAGGAAAACAACATTCATATGTGTATCAGTACCCTTTATATTACTGCATGATACACTATATACAGTGGGGCCAAAAAGTATTTAGTCAGTCACTGATTGTGCAAACACGATGAGTTGAGTTTTTACCAAAAAGTTCTATTTTGGTTTCATCTGACCACATGATATTCTCCCAATCCTCTTCTGGATCATCCATATGCTCTCTGGCAAACTTCAGACGGGCCTGGACATGTATTGGCTTAAGCAGGGGGACACGCCTGGCACTGCAGGATTAGAGTCCCTCTCGGTGTAGTGTGTTACTTATGGTAGCCTTTGTTACTTTGGTCCCAGCTCTCTGCAGGTCATTCATCAGGTCCCTCCGTGTAGTTCTGGGATTTTTGCTCACCGTTCTCATGATCATTTTGACCCCACGGGATGAGATCTTGCGTGGAGCCCCAGATTATCAGTGGTCTTGTATGTCTTCTAATTGCTCCCACAGTTGATTTTTTTTCACACCAAGCTGCTTGCCTATTGTAGATTCACTCTTCCCAGCCTGGGCGCAGGTCTACACTTTTCTTCCTGGTGTCCTTCGAAAGCTCTTTGGTCTTGGCCATGGTTGAGTTTGGAGTGTGGACAGGTGTCTTTTATACAGATAACGGGTTCAAACAGGTGCCAATAATACAGTTAACAAGTGGAGGACAGAAGAGCTTCTTAAAGAAATTACAGGTCTGTGAGAGCCAGAAATCTTGCTGGTTTGTGGGTGACCAAATACTTATTTTCCACCATAATTTACAAATAAATTCTTTAAAAATCCTAAAATGTGATTTCCTGGATTTTGTTTCTCATTTTGTCTCTCATAGTTGAAGCGTACCTATGATGAAAATTACAGACCTCTCTCATTATTCTAAGTAGGAGAACTTGCACAATCAGTGGCTGACTAGATAATACTTTTTGGCCCCAATATATCATCTCATGTAGATTTCTTCTCTATAGGTGATTTAGACCGCAGTGCATTGGAACAGGAGTGTAGAGGAAAGTTTGTGGACCTCAGGAAAGCTTTCTTCATGTTAACTGGACTAGAGTCTGCTCTTGTTGCCAAAGTATGTACTTTTAAGTTTCTAAATGATCAATAATGCTACTGCATTGTAACCGTCATGTTTTTGTGCCAGATGATA